AGAAAAACTCTCTTTTCTAGAAATGCATTGTTTGGGCCCATGTCTTATTCCTTTAAGATGCTGTGAGATATTTCCCCACAGAAGACCACCAGTGTCCTTACCTGCTTCCTTCAGTGGGTGAATGGCTCAATGTTGGCATCCTTTTCCCAGACACAAGTTTCAAACTGGCTGCCCGGTCTAGACCCAGTCTGCCGATAGGGTACTGTGGCCCTCTCAATGTTTGAAAAAGTTTTGAAGTAGGTACCAATATTTAAAAACCAGGATTTTGCACATAGAATCAGGCTGTGAGAATTTTGTTAGAAAGTCAGAGGTCCTCGTGTGCGCTGGTTGGACTTGAGTGGTGGCTGTCCTCTAGGAGAGGTGTTTGGCCCGCAACCTGCTGTTGAGCACACTCTTGTGATCTGCCTGGCTCTGAAGACATCTGGGCGTGTGGCTCCTACAACAGGCAGATGCAAAGACAGCAGATCCCAAACATCATGGAGGGGGCCAGAGGGCTCATGACCCCCTGGAAAGCTTGGGACAGTCTGAGTGATCCCCCCAGTAGGTTTGAACTATTTACGGCCTGAGTGGCCAATCATTCAACTAGACAGAGCTGCTGGTGGGGTCTGGGGTTGCCTGTGCCATGAGGCTGCACAGAGAGCACCTTTCCAAGTCTTGGGCGAGTCCGGCCCAGCTGGGAGAGGGCAGATGGCCCACCGACTCGCTCCTTGGCCGAACCTGGAGCTTTGTTAGAGTCAGCCCAGTGTGCACTGGCCAAGTGTGGCCCTGGATGCAGTGACCTTGACTGTGAAGCAGCTCTCAGCACAGGTGGACTCGGCACTTGTCTGCCAGCCAAACCAAAGGGCAGACCTTGGCCGCACCTCCACACCTGCTGAATGTGCTGACGGGTGCTCCCCACCCGGTCTAGGGGCTGGGGTTGTGACAAGTCTGCCTCCCGAGCACGCTGAGATATGCCCTGGGGGGAGGGAATGCTTGGGAGACAGCTGGGATGTTTCTGGTGGAAAATGAGACCCTTGGGCTGCCCAGGGGTTCTGCAGGGCACCTCATCCCAGATGACTCTATCCCTGGGTTGGCCTGGCCAGAAGTGCACCCCACTGGGGGCTGGCTGTAGTCTCAGAACATTCCCTGTGCCCTCTCATAGAGAGGAAGCCCAGGAAAGGTGGAGAAGAGCTTCACGGTAGAGGGCAATAGTGGTGACTCAAATCGTTTAGGGATTATAGAGAAAAAAATTGGGGTTTTTGTTTGTTTTTTAAAACACAAATCCAAAGAGGTGGGTTCATCCCATGGAACTTCACTCTGGAACATTTATCTGGGAAACTGGGGTGATAGAGAGCAGTCACCCAGACACAGCCTTTAGGAGCTAGGCAGGAGGTGGACCATACAGAGCAATACGTATCCAGTAGAGGGGCTCTTCTGTGCACGTGTGCGGCGGGCCAAGAAAGGGCCGTGGACGGCCTTTGAGAGCCTGTGTGTACCGTGTGCAGTACAAATCACCCTTGAGAACTCACCAAGTAGCCCCTAAGTCACGAGGGCCCGGGCCCTCAAATGCTAAGAATGAACCGTTCTTGTTTCTCAGCTGTGGCCTTTTTTTCCCCAGAGCAGAGGAGGCCAAGGCCTATTTTGAACTTTAAGAGCAGTGGGTTGAATGAAGAGATCCTTTCCTGTACTGTTTGTGTGTTTGTGTGGTGTGCATGCGTGGCGTGTTTGGTGTGCGTGTGTGAATGTGCGTGTATGGAGTATGGCTGTGTGGTATGTGTATGTGGTGTGTGTGGTGTGTGTGAGTGTGTGATGGGTGTGTGGTATGTGTGTGCAAGTGTGTGATATGTATGCTGTGTGATACGTGTGGTGTGTGTGTGTGTGGTACATGTGTGTTCTGTGTGTGTGAACGCCACTTGCTTTAATAAGCTTACGCCGTGTCTTCTCTGAAAGCCATGAGAACGGGGACCGTGTCTCTTTGGCTCCTCTTCAACTCCCTTCCCTACTTGGGAGGTAAGAGGTGCTCATTCATCCATTTGTTCATTCAATCAAAAAGTGCGTGTGAATGAGTCTGCACGTGTCTGGGTGTGTGGTGCAGACCTGTATGTACACGTGTGCCTGTGGCCCCATTCAGGAGACTTGCTTTAGCTCTTGACACAAGTTTTAGAGTTGACGTGAGGCCTTAGAGAACACAGGCTCTGACTTCCCATATTATAGGTTGAGGAAGCAAAGGTCCCAAGATGGGCATCCTGTGCCCAGTGGAGAGCAAAATGGCACCAGGTCTCTGGTCCCCAGTCCAGACTCTCCAAACACCTCCCAGGGTCCAGGGGTCCACACTGCCTGTCCTGCTCAGCAGTCCCACGGTATCTGCCGACAAGGGTACTTCCCAGGGAGGGTCTGCATGGTGGTTCTCCACCCAGGCTCCACAGAGGGCCACGTGGGGGCCTTTGAAAGACCCCAAAGCTCAGTCTTCACCCTGGCCCAGTTAACTCAGAATTTCTGGAGGTGGAGGTGGACCAGGTGTCAGCATTTTTTTAAAGCTCCCCAAGCAGCTGCAGTTTAGTTTTTCAAAGTACAATCTTTACACTGCATCACACCCACCAGGGACACTTGTTAAAAATGCCCGCCTCTGGCACCCACCCCAGACGGAGGGAGTCAGAACCGCTGTGGCGTTAAGGTCGCAGAACTGGTGTCTTAAACTCCCCTGGTGATTCGAATGCACAATACAGTTTGAGAACCACTGCTCCACTGTGCATGTCAAATGTGTGTCCCTTGGGAATATACACACGCATCCTCTGTGCATCCCTGCAGTCCCCACTGAGAAAGGCAGCTGCCCGCCCACCCAAGCCTGCAGGCAAAAGTCCACCTCCTCCCTCTGTAGCTCCCACTGATGAATGCCCGTGCCTTTTCCACGAACCCTTTGCCAGATGCACTTAATCATTTCCAGGTGCATTTCTGAAATGCAACCTGAGTCTTACTCAGCACCTGCAGGCCCCACCTCTGCCGGCAGGTGCTCCCTGCGGGGCCCTCCCCCAGGTTCCCGGTAACCTGTGGGCCATGGTCGTAAGTTCCTAGTCAGTCTCTCCTGTCACAAGCCCCACCACCACCCCCTCAGCTTCAGGGGCTGCCTCGGCTCCAGCTGGCCACCGGACTTCCAGGTCAGCCCAGACGTGCCCGTCCACAGTGCCTGTCCCACTGAGGGTTCCGTGGCCTCCACTGAGATGTCCAAATAGCTATGGTGAAGTGAATCTGAGCCTCATGCAGGGATTGACTCCAAGAAGTGGGAAAATGGTGCCTGAAGCCATTGTACCTTACCTCAAAGGGGATAGAGTCTTCCTTGCTAGATCCGTGTCATTGGTCTAGCCAGAGACAAGTGTGACCTTTCCATTTAGACAAGTAGACTCCCAGCTGGGCCCCCTTGCCAGACCAAAAGGCCATCTCTGATGTGTCCAGGAGAGACCTTCAGCTGCTTGTAGCTGTGAATGAAGAGCACGTAGCCACCCTTTGGAAGAGGTGGGCATAGTGTCTCCAAGGTTCCGGCACACGATCTGGAGATGACGTGGAGTCCCCTGCTCAGAACCTGGGCTAGTGGTTCTCTTGTTTACAAAGTCCAAGAGTCCTCTTTCTCCCTATCAAGTGTGTTACCCCCAAATGCCCCAAGCCTGGAGAATGAGAGACACAGTGTCAGCTGAGAGTGGATACGGGACGGTGTCTTCAGAGGACACCATTCACCAATGATTTGCTGTTGCCTTTTACCTCAGTCTTTTTTACAATAGAATAGAAGAAGGGGTGGGGCATTCTGAGTTTCCTCAGAAAAAATAATTGTGGATATTGACAGGTTGCTATTGTGAATAAGCCAACAGGGACTGTCACAGTCCCATTCCCTCCAGAGAGCTTTTCAATTCCAAAGTCTAGAAAAGACCCTGGATTGCTAACAAATTCTTGGAATATATTTAAATCCACATTTGTTTACCCTCCTCCCTTCCTCTATCCCATCATGTGGACGGGTCTAAGGTGTATATTATGGTATCTTTTCCTTGGTGGAAAGAACAATAGAAGTTGGGTGTTGAATTTAAATAAATATTTAATTCATGAAAATGATCTTATATGTTTTAAAACACTCTTTAAAGCTATTTTTATTCTCTAGAAAGCGCTTATTATAGGTAAATTACACATTTTACTACCAGAGCATTAGGTTTGCCATTAGCACAAATTTAAGGCACTACAAAGACCAGTAGATAATGTTAATTTCAAATACAGAAACTAAATATATTTTGTGCTTTTTTATTACTCATTTTCTTTTAAGTTTTATTGACTGCTTTTAATCTTAACTATATGTCTTTACATGCTGCAATCATAATGCACTGTAATGGTATTAATATTTTATAGAATCAGTATTTATAGTTCTTTATTTAGAAACAATGCAGTAGGTCTGCAGATATCTGAGCCCGTCTGGAATGGTGCCCTCCAAATAATGATAAATTACTTGTGCAGTATGCCATTTGCTAATTATATCCATGATTTACTGCAGAGCAAGACTTAAATCATTCATTTCAGTCTTGCGTAACAGTGCCATAAAATTTTTAGGTTTAAAAATGGTTTCCATGTGTATAATTTAAACAAATTTTAGAGCTATTGTATACACAAAATATTGCAACCACCCATTTGTTACATACTTTGTCTTTTTAAACTTCTACTTTTAATGATCACTGTGGTTGAAATTATTATGCTTAATTTTCATAATCATAGCTTTTAAATCTATAGCCGTTTTCACATGTTAGATAAAGAAAAAGATAGCTAATTGTGTGTAGATAGTATGTCATTCCTGAATGGTCCCAAATGGCACAAAATCATTAAAAAAGCTTAAGAGTACGAATTATTCTTCTATTAAAAACAGTTGTTCTCTAACTAATTATTAGTTTGAGCTGCTTTGTTTCCGAGAACAAATGTTGATCCTTCTAGCCTTGTTCAGCACACCAAAATGAGATAAACACTTTTTTTTCTCCTTGTACCAAAATCCGCAGGTGAGAAGCCCTACAAATGTCCGCACTGTGATTATGCCGGCACCCAGTCAGCATCCTTAAAATACCACTTAGAACGGCACCACCGGGAGCGACAGAACGGAGCCGGGCCGCTGTCTGGACAGCCCCCAAACCAAGAGCACAGGGACGAGCTGTCCAACAAAGCCGCCTTGTTTATCAGGCCAGACATCCTGAGGGGGGCCTTTAAGGGTCTCCCCGGAATCGACTTCCGAGGTGGCCCTGCCGCTCAGCAGTGGACATCAGGAGTGCTCTCGTCTGGGGACCACTCGGGGCAGGCCACCGGCATGTCCTCTGAGGCTCCTGCAGACGCCCTGAAAGGCGCCGACCTTCCTTCCAAAAGCACCCACTTCTCCGAAATCGGAAGAGCTTATCAAAGTATTGTGAACAACGGTGTGCATTTCCAAGGGTCCTTGCAAGCTTTCATGGACAGCTTTGTCCTGAGCTCGTTGAAGAAGGAGAAGGACATGAAGGACAAAGGCCTGTCTGACCCTCCTTCCACGAAAGTCCACGGGGCAGACGGCGGCGAGGAGAAGACTGGCGGTAAGGCAGCCCCGAGGAAGTCAGACAAGTCTCAGTACGAGCCTCTAGACTTGTCCGTGCGGCCGGACGCCGCCTCCCTCCCCGGCTCGTCAGTGACTGTGCAAGACAGCATCGCATGGCACGGCTGCTTGTTCTGTGCATTCACGACGTCATCTGTGGAGCTGATGGCTCTTCATCTCCAGGCCAACCACCTGGGCAAAGCGAAACGCAAAGACAGTGCTGTCGGGGTGACAGTCAATTGCAAAGACCAAGCCCGGGAGGCAAGTAGAATGGCTCTGTTGCCCTCAGTGCAATCTGGCAAAGAGATGGCGCTTTCCAACATGATGGGGCCTCTAGACTCTGCTTCTGAGAAGATGGCCCAAGGACAGGTCAAAGAGACTCTGGGAGAGCAGAAGAGCGGCACGTGGCCGGGCCACGTGGAGCCCGCGTTTTGTAACTTCCCATCGGACTTCTACAAGCAGTTTGGGGTTTACCCAGGCATGGTTGGCTCAGGGGCCCCCAGTTCCTGCCCCGACAAGGAGCCCGATGGGAAGGCCCACCCAGAAGATGACGCCCCGATCCTGATCCCCGAAACCACAAACAAGACTACTACCGATGACCTCTCCGACATCGCCTCCTCGGAGGACATGGACTCCTCCAAGGGAGAGAACAACGATGAAGACGATGTTGAAACGGAGCCGGAGATGATGAGCAAGCCCCAGTCTGCCCTCAGCAAGGACAGCAGCCGTGACGGGGGGGACAGCCTGCTGCGCACAGGCACCCCGCAGCCCGCCCAGGGACTGGCCTCACCTTTACCCCAGGCGTCGGAGAAGCAGTGGCACAGCCCGGGCCTTCTTCCAGCCCAGGACCCCTCTGTGGGCCTGCCCAAGCCGGAGCGGGGGCCCCAGGGCCTGGAGAAGCCGATGAACATGCTGTCGGTCCTCAGGGCCTACAGTTCTGAGGGCTTAGCAGCCTTTAACGGACTTGCAAGTAGCACAGCAAATTCTGGATGTGTCAAGAGGCCAGACTTGTGTGGTAAGTTTTAGAATCCTCTTCCTCTAGTTCATTGCCCAGAAGATCAGTGCAGAATTGTGCATTTAAACAGAATGACTTATCCCTTAACAAATTTTGAACTAAACATAAAAAAAAAAAACCAACAATGCTGTATGTGCAGTATAGACAATCATGGAAGTCCATTTCATTTAGAAGTTTTAGAACTTGTGCCGTTGTGTTCCAGTTTGCGTTATAAAGATCTGCAATGCCTGTACAGAAGGCGTGGAGAAGGAAGGGGGGTGTCTCACAGTGTGGACTGCTCCGGGTTTTAGTCCATAACTTGACGGGGAAAAAATTTAAAAAAGAAAAAGAGACATGGTAACTTGCAAACTTTTCAGTATTTTCAACTTATGCATAGATGCCTAAAGACAATTCCTTACTGCTTTGCTAAGCCAAATCTGCTTTCTTCAACTTTTCTTTATATTGACTTAGAGGATACTAACAGCATATCACACTAACCACAGTATAGGAAAAAAGCAACCCTCGCTCCAAGTAGGGAGATGGTTTGGGGGTATTTGTGATCCATCTTCAGACATACCAAATGGCAGTTACTGTGGCTTTGGCCTTCTACTGTTGCCTTCTGTCTGTCTGTCTCTTCACCTGTCTGTCTGTTGTTCTAACAAGAAATGTACATTGTGAAATCCCTGGTGAGCAGTGTTGTGATCCTGTGTGTATGGATTTATGCCTGCCTGATCTTGTTAGCAAATTGGCACTTCTTTACCTCCTTAAAGAATATGGTTACCCCAAAGTAATTCCAGATCTTAAGGAGTAATAATAAATCTGAAGCCTAGAATTGGATCAAATGAATGTCAGGATGGGCAGAACGGATCAAAGTCATTCTCTTGGCACCCAGATATTCATATTGGAAAGTCTTTCTCTGAATAGAAGCTCAGTGTGTTATTCCCAGCCCCAAATGTCCTTGCTAGAGACAAATGACCATGGTACCTTTCCATCTTTAATTTATGAATAGATTTCTGTCACTTTACTTCACCTGTTGAAAAAAGGAAGGAAGTGGGGAAGGAAGGAAGGAAGAGAGGGAGGAAGGAAGGAAGGAAAATGAAAGGGAGTATTTCTTAATCTCCAATTCCTGATGTTCGTTTTAGCACAGAATAGGATTCAGGAAGCTGGACTCGGTTCATAATTTAAATTGATATATTTCCTTTTTCCTCTCCTTCCCTAATTCACTAAGAACGGGATCAAGCAGTCAGAAATATTTTTTGAATTGTCAAAAATCACTAAATGGATTTCTGACAGCTCAAAAAAATATTGACAGTTCCTTATGCTGAATGATTCACAAGGCCCCATTAACCAGTACCCCCAGATCTATTTTTAGCCACATACAATTCATTACTTTTGAAGCTGTTAAAAACAATATTTAAAAGAAGGAGAAAAGGGGTTTATGTCAGTCCAATTTTTTTTTTGTTTTCTTCTGGGGGAGCAACATTTAAGTCTTTTTCTTTTTTTCATTGTTGTTTTAAGTTTGTGATTGGGGTATTTTCTTTTTTATTGTTGTTTGGGGATTTTTTTAAAGTCTATTTTCAGTTCTTTCAAATACCTACTGAGGACCATAGTTCCTGCCAGGAATCCATGCATCAGAAAAGATCAAAACCTGGCATGTTCATAAGCTCATTATTATTGAAATGAGCTCATATTCCCCCTATTAATTTTCCCATCTTCCTACCAATGCTGAAGGAAGGCTGCCTGCCTTTGAGGAAGCTTGCCCAATGGTGTCCTTCTGCTCAGGGGAGGGTGGAGGGGAAGGCAGCCTCAGGGAGCCTGCTCTGTCCTGTGAGCCCTTTCCCTCTGAGCCGCAGCTCTCAGACACTCCTCACCACGGCTCACAGCACTCCCCTGCCATTTCAAGGGTACCTGCACAAGACTTTGCTTAGGCAACCTTTGGGCCATTGGGCCACAGACCCTGGGATGTAAGTTGTGGCCTCTCTCCTGAAAGGAGAATGAGGACCTTCAGACCAGCCAGGCTGAAAGGCATCCCGGTTGCTTCCCTGGCTGGGGTCCATGTCCCACTGCTTCACCTTGCACTCATGGTAAGATACCAAAACTAAGTCTGGCCAGAAACTGCCTGTTTGTAGAGAGCGCAAGTTTTGCATTTCATTTGGCCTCATTTCTTCTGCATCCTCTTTCTTTCGCTTGGAAGCGGTCAGGGAAGGCCCTTATTTGCTTGGAGTGGGGTGGAGGAACTGTCCTCTTGCCTCCAGGATGGGCCCGACCCTGTCCAGTTCTCATTCCCTCACTCCCATATCTGGCCCACCATAATCAAAATCTTCTTCTTATTTTCTCGTGGGCTGCTTGGCATCCCAGTACCCAGAAAGGTCAGACATATTCATCCTTCCTAAGAGTTGATATCTGGGAGGAAAACTTAAATCCATTGGGCTACAAAATGGGCATTTTTCTTACAGTCTAATTCACTCTTTTTCTAGCATTGCAAGAAGCACAAATGGTAGTTGAGAACTTCAACCCCATGGGCTTGACTTTGCAAGGGTGGAAATGCTGTTGGCACAAGGAATCAAGTATTCTTAATGTTATTCCCTCTTCTGTGCTCCACTCAAAGGAGATATGGATTTCTGAACTGAACCACCAGCTCGATATCTGGCTTCCCCAAGAAGCTGGGCTTTGCCAAACCAAAGAATTATTCCAATATTTCTCATCTCAGAAGAGTTTGGGGTTTGATTTTGTCTGGTTAGTAAATTCGAATCCCCAATTTGATGCCCCTAGAAACAGACTTGGAAGAGGAGCTGATGTCTGTCTGTTTCTATTCTCATGGGGTGTAAACGTGTTGGAAGAAGCATCAGTAAAAACCTTGTTCAAATCACGTAGACTCCCCACAGAGCTCAGCAGCTCCTCTGACACATGCTGGTGCGTTGGGGATGGTGGCTTCTAACCCTAAGTCTGTGGCGACACTCATGTTATAGGCTCTACTCCCAGGTGCTTCTCTAATTCTGCATGCCTGCTTCCTAACTTTTAAAACTCTGGTCCTACATTCCTTGGTGTCATGGCCCTGGGGTCCTGGCCAATGTGCACTGCCCATTCCTAGCCAATACCTTTCTAAATCTGGTGCAGAAGAGAGAGACAATGAGGAGAGGGGCCGACCCAGCTAGTTGGGTAGAAGAGGCCTCTAGCATGTGCCAACATTGAGAGCTTTGGCATGAATTTTCAAAAGATCCTTCCACAGAGGACAATACATTAGCCTATTGGAGATGTGTTACAGATCATCCCTAGGAGGAGATTGCGCCATCTTGGATTAAGCTGGAGGACATGCACTGTTGCTTCTAGAGTGGGATCAGGGCCCACTATGGGCCTGATCTTCTTACGTGAAGTCCTGCCCCAATCAAAGCTCCCATTTGTTGAGGTGACTTCCAGACTCCAGGCATGGTCCACATTTCCTTATTCTGTTGAAGAACATAATGCACAAGGGCACTCCCATGCCATCAGAGAACTTGGACATGCCCTCGGTATTGTTGGGTTTGTAATGGGACAAGATCCACATGAGTATATAATTAGGGGGCAAGGGCAGAGCAGAGCAGCATTCACATCCACTGACAGGACAAGACAGACCACCACCTTGTCCAGTCTGAGAAATCTGATGAACTGTTGGGTCAGCGAGTAGCTTGGAGATCTGAGGGAGCATGGAAAGCACAGGCTTCTTTGTGTACCAGACAGCACATATGCCAGGCTGCATGGCACCTCTGGGGCTGGCTGCCTGGCCAGGTCACGGAACTTGAGGATTTGGAGAGCAACCAGGTCACCCTTACTCTTTGCCTCCGAACCTGAGACAGATGGTCGGCAGCCATTGTGAGTCTTGTTCTGTGTCCTTTTGTGAGCCCAGGGGTAGGGTTGATGGGGAAGAAGTCAAGTCAGATTAAGGGAAACGCAGTGAGAAGAGCACGAACCTTCTTTACTCTTCACAGCTCTGCTCTGGAGTTAACCACCACTCAGGGAGGCCAGGCTGAGCAAGGAGAATCTGTCAGCATGTCTGTAATGGGCATGAGGTCCTTGTGCAGTGGCTTCCAGGCCAAGTGACCCACCAGGCCTAGGAGGAAGCGAGTGAGAAGGCAAGGCCGTTAACAGCAATAGCCCTAATATTCCCAATTTATTACTCTCAGGTTATTGTGAACCTGGCTTTGCTAACCCAAATTATGCCTGAGACTAAGGGTTCTCTCACAGCAATGAGAGAATTGGGACCCCTTTCCTAAAAACAAAGATATGGTCCATTGAAACTTCCTTTACCTCATGTATTCTAAAATGTATGATGAAATGAACTGGGATAACCAAACTGAACTCGCTTAAAATGGGACTTCTGTCCTCCAAAAACCTCGTTGGTTTCTAAGCATAGGCAGTCTGAAAACAGCTACCATTTTACCAGCTACACAGTCTGAAGCAGGGATTGGCAACTATTTTCTTAAAGCCAGAGAGTGACTCCATTAGGCTTGCAGGCCATGTGGTCTCCCTCACAACTGCTCAACTCTGCCGTGTAGTGCCAAAGCAGCCATGAGTGACAATTAAACGAATGGGCATGGCTGTGTTCCGATAAAACTTTATTTAGTAAAACAGGCGGTGGGCTAGAATTGGCCCACCGGTCGTGGTTTGCTGACCCCTGCTCTAGTGTAAAGAAGGATATGTTGCCGTGGTCGCCCCTAAAAAAGACAGGCAGAGACCTGTCTGCGGTTGCTCCACCCCCCAGGGAGATGGTGCAGAGAGGACCAAAATTAGCAGCTGCAGGGCTCCATCTATTGCCATGTGATGCCAAAGCCAGCGATGTGAGAGACCGTCCCAAGAGAGGCCTTGTAGACCCAGTCGGCCTGGTGTACCTGTTTCTGGAAGGCCACATCTCTGCCTGTGTATTAAAGACTTCCGGGAGAGCACCCCTCTCCGTGGCTCATGGCGGTTCCAGAGCCGCCTGCATCATGGCCAAGGAAGGCAGAGGAGGAAGAGGCAGGAGCTCTATCTGGGCTCTGAGGAGAGTTTGCTCTGTGGAAGGCTCGGTTTCCTCACTGATGCACCGAGGCGTGAGCATGAA